TCAACGTGTGTTCCAAACGAATTTTCCGCGAAATAGAGACACAGGTTCACTTAATATTTCCGTATTTGCGAAATCAACCAACTGAAATCGAACAAAAATGTGTACCGAGAGTGTTCACTGCAAATTAAAAAACAATTAAATGAATTACAAATAATGATCGTTCGCAGAGTGAAATCTAAAATAAAAGAAAACGTTCGCAGACGAATCGAAAATAACGATTGAAACTTCCGATTGACGAAAATTAAGACGAGGACAGAGAGGGTGATTGCTTCAATTACCAATTGCGAACGACCTAGTCGCAATTAGGCACCTGCGACGAGACGGCGAACAATCGTCGAACAGTTCGCGAGCTATTCGCGAACTTCGTTCAACTCGTTATACATATATAGCGATCGCCCACTATCGCGTGACACATTATTCGACATGATTGGTCGTCGTACTGATGTCGAAATGATCGAATTGTCGAAACGAATTATCGAAATGAAACCTTCGAAGATGAATTAGCAAATGAAAAAAGCAATTGTTATTCGACTAATAAAACATTCGACCGAGAAAGTATTCGTTCGAACGATCGTCCGTCTTTACGCCGACGCGAGTACTATAAATAAATCCTGTCGGACGGGGGTGCCAAAATCCGTGGAATAAATGGTCTTTATGGTTTCGTTGGCGAAAAAGAACCCGAGGAAAAATGGCCAATAAAAAGGCTATCCTATAATCCTGCGACTAAACCCACCGACACTTTTGCGTCCGAAATATACTGCGTTCTCAAAATAGTCGAAGGACAGACAAAAGAGGGTGGTAATGAACGTGGGTCGACCGCGGCACGGATGCAAAAATTCCAGAAAATCGTCGAAACAAAACGGTCACGTGGCTCGGGCTTTTGCACGCGGTCCAATGGAATCCTGTTTTCCGATGATGTAGATGATAACGTGACTGTTTAAGTGCGACTACCGTCGTGAAATCACCATGTACGATTCGACCCCAAAGGCCATGCGCGAGACGGAAGCATATATATCATAGTCATCTTGGCAAAAAAAAAGAAAAACAAGAACACAATTCAAGTAAATCCAGTTTTTTATATCACGTTACATCCTAAAAAAATGTGTTTAGCGTCTTTAGTTCACAGTTTCCTAGACACATTAATTAGAATGCTTGACTTCGTGAGACGATTAGTCCGGGAAAAAAGGAGAGACAATAATACATGTATTTTCGTCGAGAAGGTTCATCGTTCGAGTGTGTGTACCTTGCGGACACACGTGTCAGAGGTCCAAGATCATCGTTTGACATCGCGTGCGTGCGTGCGTGTTTGTATGTGTGTGTGTTTGCACGTCTTCTTCCGACGCGCAAACAAGTCGGCATTTTGTCTCGCCGTGGCACACGTGCGCCTCGAGAACAAAAGTCGTGAAAAACGTCGATCATTCGACACAACACGTTTGCGGTGAGATCATTCGCATTGTCGGTAGACCACGGATGGTTCGTGGAAAGTAAAAAGTACAAGTAAAGGTAACTATGGAAACACGTATCTCGCATATACACATGTACGAAAGAAGTGCAGCAGAGAAAAATGTTCGATAAATATTGGCCAACTTCGATCGACGATAACTTCGCGAGAAAAAATCGCAGCCGAGTTTCTTTTTTTTTAAATTGAAGGAAAACGATCGAAGTTCGTTCGACTGTAAACGGCGTCTCGGGAAAAAATTTTGTCAGAGTCCGCGCGTTTCGTCAAACTTGGCGGTTTTCTGTACGACAAACATGGCCTCGCAATTGAAGGGTTGCAAGGGCGAGGGTGTAATGATTAACATTACCGAATAAATTAAAAATCGAGATACAGCATCTTCAAATAGAAATTTCGAGCTTTAATTTAAAAAAAGAGTCATCATCCTACGATGATTTTTCGCGGATTTGTCGTCGGTCGAAGTTGGCCAATATTTATCGAACGTTTTTCTATGGTATAATTTCGTTGAGCAGTATCTATTTCGATTAATTATAGCCGAACAGTTCGTTCTATTTAACTGCGAGGACTGACACGCGCAGAATTTTCCCCGCGCAATTGCAATTGTAAATCGCGAAAAATGAATCGTAAATTATAAACGTAAATTACAATGGTCAGTCATAATCGTCGCGCACCACTTCCGTCGAGTTTGCATTCCGATAAATTCCAATGAATTCCGATTAATTATAATTAATTACAATTAATTTCAATCAATTTCAATTAATTAGGATTAATTTCGATTATCTCGTATACAACGTTTCGAAATCCAAGGTCGAAGGTCCCGTAACTCACATTTTTGAAATCGCGACTAATATCCCGCGGCAATTAATTAATATAATTAATACGCGGGAGATACGGCGCGTCAAAACAAAACGCGTCTGGATCTAAGAATCGTAAATCTTGAGCTACGTAATATCTGCTCGACTTCTTCGAACAGAACGGTCACGGATCGATCTCGAAGAAAATCCGTCCTCTCTGCGATAGCGGCGTGTCGCGAGCGACGAAGATAAATTCAGAGCAACTTAGAAGTTGGAATTAAAATTTAATGACTCATTATTCATATTTCTTTGATGTCGCTGCCAGCGATTATCGCCTGTTCTGCTGAATCGCTCGGTTTTTTTAAATCGCGACGATAACTGACGAGATAAAGAAGGCTCTCGAACCGATGATTTGTTGACAGGACAATTACAGAAGTCGTGAAACGATCATGGTATCAACAATTTCTTGTTAACGGAAAATAATCAGTCTCGAATAGGAATAATAATTTCTTGTTAATACGTTCCGTGTCACGTGTACCATCCATGGTACACGCTTGCATGTTTACTTAGTGAACCGAACAAATTGTTTACAAGAAATTTAGAACCGAAGAATCAATTTCCACCGCAAGAATGGGCGTTGATAAGTTTTTGTTACGTTGTTATGTGTACGAGAATTAATAATTGCACGTAATACATCAAGTTTTAGTAAAATATCAAAGTGTGAAGATTCGAGTAAAAAAAGCTCGGCACGGAACGTGTTAACAGAAA